ACAGTAAGTACATGATGCTTGGGAGGGTGTGGCCTGGACTGGCAGTATCTCAGAGGGGAATGTAGATTCGAACTCATTTAAAAAACGATGCCACAGTGATGAGGGCTGTGAAAGTTCTGATGTCTCATGTGCACAAAGGCCTTATGCCTTGTGGCAGGAAACAACTATTTGGATCAAATTAAACATAACCAAAATATCTTCTTTTAAAGATGTTTTTATAAATTACCAAGTTAGCTTTTTTGAAGTTTTTGATATTTTTTGGATTTTTAATACGGCATTCTCGGTGTGACTCTTCAGTCTAAAGAAATGTGACTATAATAATAGAACTAGTTCTCAGATGCTTTACTTTCTGCTTAATGATATATGTGCATATCATGTGACTCTGTGTAGATCATATGAATATATTACGGCTTAAAACTCAGAATTTGAATTTCACGGACCATGCTAAAATTCAATAAAGCTACATTTGAATGCAACGGGGATAGCTCAACATGTGGCTTGAATTTTCCTTAAAACACACAGGGGATAGTTAAAGGGGAAAAGTGCCCGGGACAGAGAATATCTGGAGTTTTGCCAAATTCATACCATTTAAACAATTTAAGACTGAACTCAAATCCCAAGCCGATCTGTTTAATCTCCCCCAAAGGGCAGAAGGTAGCGTTTCAACTTTGAAAGATAACGTTAACGAAAATCCTGTGAATGAGCAAAATGGGAATGAATGCTGGACTTGAAGAAACTGTTTTGCCCTCTGGAATTCAGACTTCCCACCTATACTTGGATCTCCATTCTGCCTCTAAATGCCAAAAGAGGTTGCAATTTTTCCCCCCATTGCCAATGCCAACTCCACCCTGCCCTCACGCCCCCCATGCTGAATGACAGAAAAACATACAACTCATACAACTTCAAGCCCTTGCCACAACATCCAAGACTGAACATGCCTCACACTATGCTTTCTTCCCATTTCATAGTTAGAAACAGTGAAGAATTAAATGGCATTGGAATTAAAATGGCAATTTTGTCAGGTGAATGGCATTTAAGGAAAATCAGTAGTATTAACCACCATTGTGTATTTTCCTAAGGCATTCTATAACCAGACTCTGCCAGGATCTTCCTGCAATAGTGCCAAGCAGGCAAATGTCACTTTTGAGTCCCAGGAGGTGATGCATTGATCAGCCTTCCAAACCCCTCAATGCAAAGATGCTTGGAATTCAGTCAGCAGTGCCACTTCCAGCTAACTGGCTCCGATTCCTATGGATGCAACTTGTCCTCCTCCTGGCTGGACTAATGCCAGTCTACTTAAGGAGATAATTGACCACAAGCCAGCCTGACTGACAGGCTTCCTAAGTGTCATATGCCAACTGTGCCAATATCAGCCCTTGCAGGAGGGCCTGATCTCCTTGGGACTCTCCTTGGGGGCGAAGGTAGCTTCGTTCTCTGTTGGCATTAGCCCTCATCTCTCTTCTTGACTTCCCAAGAAAATATACTGGAATAAGTCATTCTAAGTTGTTTTCCTGCTGCCATTACTTTAAAAACATCAACACTAAAACACCCCTCTCTCCTCATTGCTTCTCCCCACCTTTCCCAAGTTTCTGTGCACTGAGTTGAGTCAGATACAGGTTAAGCAACTACAGTCTTTTCTATCATCCTGAAAACCAGGAGCATAATTTCATGTGGAGAGGGTCTCCAAAGTATCATCATTAATGTATTACTCCTCTTATGCCAGTTTTAGTGGTTTTCTATAAACTTCCTTTACTGCCAGGACAATACTTTGTGAATGACTTCACCCCTCTTTGAACACTTTTAATATATAATCACTAAATCTGGTTCTGCTGTCTCTGAGTGGATGCTTCTTTGGCCCTTGAGGACAAAAATCTGATTCTGGTGAGAAGCAGTGAACCAGGGCCTGGGATTCTCTAGATCTGTTATCCCAAAGGTCTGTCAGGACTATTTCTTCCCACGTTTCTGGCTTGGCAACGCTGACAGTGGTTGCTTGAGATGAAGCCCTTACAGTACAGTTATGGTTCAATGGCAGATCCTGTCTTAGTTAAGAGGGGTTTTAGGGCCATGTCTAAGGGCTTTAATTGGGACTTCTCTTGGGATCACAGCATTGTCAAGAAAGTCCTTCCCATTTTGTTTATTTACACGAATTCCCCGGTTCTCCAGTCTCCACATCATGCACAGCTTCCTTTGGGTACGAGGGTCTCCTCTGGATGAAGGCATTGCCTTCCCATCTCCCTTTCTCTCTCCTTACTGTAAAAACAAAACAATCGTGTTTACCTACCGAGGTGGGGGTTCCCGCGGCAGAGCTTGGTTGCCGGGAGGATTCTGGAAAAGGATAGTGGGTCGATTACTCATCCCTTCCAGCGACCGCGACCCAATGCACCCTTTCTGTAGGGAGAGGCTGACGCTTGGGCTAGCCCTCCCGGCGCCCGCCGAGGGTCACCCTGGGTCGCGCCCCTCTCCTGGAGGTGGGATAGTGGGCGCAGCTCAGGAGCACACTACCTTTCGGGCAGGAGAAGAAAGATGTTTTGAAGAAACTCCTGGGACGCAGCGACCCCTTCTTTGGGCCGAGGAACCTGCCGAGGCTCAACTAGAGTCCGGGCCCCGAGCGTCAGGTACCGACTCACTCGGAGGTGGATAGAAGGCTCAGACCCCAAAGTTCCCCCAGATTTATGAACCCCATGTCTGTGACTCTCCCTTCCACTCCCGCCACCCACCCCATCCCGTCCTCTTTTCTTTTCTCTTTCAACAGTCCCACACTAGTGGAGAGGAAACCCTGTAGGAAACCTTTCAGAGGAGCTGGAAGAATGGGATACACTCCCAAATGATATGAGCCCCCAGGGAGGCAGTGACCTAACTGGGAAAGCGTCTCCCAGGTGAGGCCAACACTTAGCGGCATGCTGTAATGGGATTTGTAAATAAGAGATGCGTGGAAAGATACCTATTTTAAAGATGTAGCCCAAATCCTCCCCTCCCTCCTCCCCCAGGGTCATTGCTGAGCGCAGGACTTTTTTGACTTTTTATTTTCTTCAGATAAAAGATCAGAGATGACTTTCATTGGGCCTGGATGGGCAGAGGGAAACTGATTCAAAGTAGACAGACCCCTGCTAAAGGGTGGAGAATGGAGGCCGGGCTGTGGCTTCCCGGGTCCCAGGGGAATCCCCCGCACCCACCGAGAGCTGCGCGGTCCAGGCCGCGGGCGCGGTCTACCGCGGTCCCGGCGACCGCGCGCAACAGGTCTCCCAGGACGCGGTGGCGGAGCGCGCGCTTCGTTAATGTGGCGGTGGTGGCGTCCGGGTGCCAACTTCGTGGCCTCCGTCCAGCCCCACAGACTTCAGGGGGCGCCGTCGGGCACCCCCCTTGCTGGCACAGAATTTCTGGTCGTGGCCCGCAGGACCTCGGAAAGGGGAAAGTGGTGGCGAATGGTGGTGACAGAAAAAAAAAAAAGATCACTATTTAGCACTGTTTAATGCTACTGCAACCTTTAGCATTATGGTAGATTTAAGCGCAATTAGCTGGTGTGTTAAGAACAGAAAAGGAGATCATCGCGCCTGCAGACAAAAGGAGCCAGGGAGGAAACCGGTCCTTACTGGTGGCTTGCCTGAGAACTCACTCCTTTGAAGTGCTGAAGTTAAGAAATAAAAGGGAGGGGGAGGATTTGCAGAGTGCCGGGACCTACCAGTGGGCCTCGTCTCTCAAGGAGCGAAACACCTTCACACGGGCACCAGCACGTACATCCAGAGAGAAGCTTTAATGGAGAACACCGCGAACAACACCAGCAGACACGTACAAAGTCACAGCCCGAACGCGGAACAGGCCCGAGGTGACTGCGAGCCCGAGGGCAAAGCCGTTCCTCCCCGCTCTGTCCCTTTCGTTCCTAAAAGTTTGTTGCGCGTAAAGTGCTATTCTTCCTGGGGCTCAGGAAGGGGGGAAGAGCAGCAGCGACACGGCAAGTTCTTTTCCCATTCGCGAATTGAAACAAGAATTGATTCGCCCGGATGACACGCGCGCCCCAACAGCACATGAAACACCAGAAACAACCGCAGCGCGCAAAGGCGACGGGCTCGTCCCCGGGCTGCTAGCCCAGAAGACTGGAAGGGAACGGCCACGTGACCTCCTGCAAGCGTTCAGAGCAACACTGTCGAGTGATGTGCCCCGTTTTTCTCGTATTCATGGGTTGGGGGTGGGGTGGGGGACAAAATCTCGTGATTCAGATGATTTCTTTTCTTTAAAATTCCAGATGGACCGGGCCGTGGGAATCCACATGATTCCTGCGCTCCTTCACGGCCTCTCATTCGACCGGTGCACAAATGAGTTGCAGGTGGAAAGTCGCCTTGATTGTCTCTCTTTGGTTGTGTTTTCCAACTTTACTTTTCGGAATCCGGGGCTTTACCCTTTAAGCCGCTGCCTGCCATTCTCTTTTGTGCAAACTAATTGCTCTGGCGGTTCCTCCCGTCCTCCTTGACCCCCGGGTCAGAGCCAAGAAACGGAACTGTTTCGCAAAGATCTTTCGTGGGGGCTCCCACTGCTCCTTCCTCCTCCCCCAAAGCGACTTTATTCGTGACACCGAGTCCTCGCCCATCTCGCTGACCAGGAAGACGACGGCACCAAACGCTCCCTCTTTTCCTTCCCAAATAAAACGAGACTTCCTCAGTGGACGGCAGTTTCGTCTTGACTGTCGGGAGAGGCGGCTGCCGGGGTGGCCAGACCAGCGGAGAGACACTGGGTGGCTGAGATCCGTTTCAGCGTCCCCCTCTGCGGGATTCTTCCCGGGGGGGGGGATGCGTGGGACAACCTCCCCATCTTCTGCTCCCAGGAAAAAGGATTGGAATCCACTTCCAGTTAACCAGCGAATGAGGCTTTCCTCCCTCGCTTCCCTCGCTCATAACTTACAGATGTAGAATATTAATTACAGTAGAAACTCTTACCTGAAAATGGGCTTTCATGAATCTGATTGTACAACATGGCACACACACAGACAGCAGGGGCGTTCTGTTTCTTCAGCCCAGCGGAGCATCCGCTTTCGGGTCGCCGGCCCTGCCCCGCAAGGGCTCGGCGTCGCCGGCTCCGCCCGGCCTCCCCAGGGCGCCTCTCCCTCCCGGGCGCTCAGCGCCGCCCGGGTCCGGCGCCTCCGCGCGAGTGGGCTTCTCCCGCCCGCCGGGCGCCCTAGGAGCGCACCAGCACCGAGTGCAGGGGGCCGCCCTTGCCCTCGGCCGCGCCGGGCGCCGCGGGCTC